CGTGCTGTTTGCCCAAGAAACGAACCCAATTGAGTACCAACGTGTATACAACATATTGGACCGGGTCCACACGGTGGCTCCGAACAAAATGTGTCAACGCCACCTCCATCGCCATGACATGCGAGGGCGGTTTTCCACCACGAACGGCCTCCCATGCCTCGTATCGAAGGGTGGTCAGCTCACGGTTCTTGTACAGCACCGTCTCATTTCCAAAAAGAACTGGGAGAACATCACTTGCAATCAGTTGCTCACGTTGTTGCTTGTTGCCAGGTACTTGGGCCACACGCTTGAGTCTTCGTTTCACCTCATGGAGCCTTGCAGAGTCGGGAGGAAGAAGCGCTCCATCATGGGACAAGCGGTGTCCAAGCAAAACAAGGAGATCGGCGTTGCTCAAAAGCCCACCTGGAGCCGCGAGGACCATCCCACCGAAAACTTTGCTTTTACGGAAATTGATCTCCATGCTACATGCCATAACCCAGAGGAGAGTAATACCATGAGCACGCCTCAGTTTCCTGGCCGTGTCGGTGAAGATGTGGATGTCATCGGCAAAGCCTCCAGAGTGTGTGCTATCATCACGACTGGCGGCATCCATCAAAACCTCGTCATTCAAAGCAGTGCCACGCAAAGCGTGGCCGTCTACCCTCCGCCTTACATTCCCTGGAAGTGAGAAGCCTGCCGTCTGGGCCTGCTGCCATACCAGCGTCAATTGCAAAACACCATACTGATGGCGCACCCCTGCAAAATGCCCCGCAAACCTCCAGAGTCAGTCGAAGGTCCAAGATGCTGTAACACATTGAATCTTCTCTGCATCCTGGCATACTGGTCAAACATCACAGCTTGTACACCAGCAGGGAAACCCATCCGGCGCAACAGCCTCCAACCAAAGCCCTGCATCACACCAGCTGGGAAAGGCATGCTGTCAAAAGCCTTGCGCAAGTCATAACTCACCGCATGCAGCTGTGCGTCGTGATGATGACTAAGTTCCAGAAGAGCTGCCGCCGCCAAAGTGAGGTCGAACGTAGAGGCTGCCTGACGACAAGCCTTGAGAGGACGGGACTGAAGGATGAGTTCC